CACATACATATGGATTCTAGAAAAATGGTACTGATGAACACACTTGCAGGGCAGGAACAGATGTGCAGAAGTAGAAAACGAACCTGTGGACACAGCAAGGAGGTGGGGGGGGAAATTGACAGATTGTGTTACTGATAGCTAGTGGGAGGCTGCTATATAACACAGGGAGCTTGGTTTGCTGCTCTGTGATGACCTAGAGAGGCAGAATAGGGGAGAGGGTGGGAGGGAGACTCAAGAGGAAGGGGATATATGTGTACATACAGCTGATTCACAATATTGTGTAGCAGAAACACAACACTGTAAAGCAATTATATTTCAATAAAAAAACAACATACCAAAAAGATAAATAAAATAATAAAAATGGGGGATGCAAAAATGGCCTATTGTGTGTTCTCCTCTTTTCACAGGGAAAACTGAGAACTCCTGTCACAAAATTATGGAGAAAGGCAAATTTCCAGAATGAATACTTTTCATATAATGAAAATATAACAGGTGTAATTACAAGTGAAAGTGAAATTGCTCAGTCGTGTACGACTCTTCGCGACCCCATGGACTGTAGCCCACCAGGCTCCTACATCCATGGGATTCTCCAGGCAAGAGTACTGGAGTGGGTTGCCATTTCCTTCTCTAGGGGATCTTCCCGACCCAGGGACTGAACCCAGGTCTCCTGCATTGCAGGCAGACGCTTTAACCTCTGAGCCACCAGGGAAGCCCATTGTAATTACAAGAGGAGAGGCCAATTATTACAATTTTTGCTAAGTGACCAAAAACTCTGAAAAAGAACAGGTTGGTGGGGAGCAGTGTGGGTGATGGGGGCAAAGAGGTTAGGGAAGAATGGAGGTAGAAAGAAGAACAAGGATGGAATTGTTACAACTCCGGGGCTCTTCCATACAGAGTTATGGCCAAACACACACTCCTGTTCCCTCCCCTCTAATTCTGGCCCAAGTTCTTCAGGGTACTAACTTTAGAAAAAGGCTGATCTGCCTCCCTGAGTTACTTTACTCACATTACCTACAAAGATGGCATAAACAAGACCTCTAAGAAACTCCACCTCAGAATGATCTGCAACACCAACATTTTTCAACCACTTTCATCTCCAAGAGACAAACCACCATTGGCTGCTTCAAGTGAGCGAGGTTGGTATAGTGTTACATAACTGACTTTAGAATCTTGACTATTTCCAGGCATAGAAACAGAAAATGGTAGACAACACTGACAAAGACTGTTACTTGCCACTCAATAATTATGTTTCACTAAGTAGGCACACAGCCACCTAGAATACAGGCTACACTTTCCAGTCCACATCCCAGCGAGGTGTGGCCCTGTGATTATACGTCTAGCCAGTGGGATATAATTGGTGGCTGCTAGCACGTTTTTTTTTTTTTAACAATTAGTCCTCTTTGGGAGACAGAGAGATGATGGGGAGCCTTGGTTTTTAGCATTGCCATTTTCCATGGTATATATTCCCATCATGGCTAACTTCAACCTTCCACCTTGATGGCACTGAACACAGAGTTGGGAAGAGCAGCAGCTTTCTCACAAGTTGGTACCAACTGGCTTCAGCACATCACTGGATGTGATAATGGGCTGTATGTAACTTCTGGGAAATGGCCTTAAAGAAGGAGGCAAGTCTCAATGGCTGGGGGCATGCCCTTCCTCCTCTGTCCCCTCTACTGGCTGGAATATACATATGACTGGTCAAAGGCCAACCATCAGAATGGACCAGAGGGAGGAACAAGAGTCACAAGAGAGAAGCCGTGGTCACTGAGCTGCTCTGAGAACGCTTATATGCAGACTTCATTTACATGACAATTGTCAGAAAGAGGAAAATTTGTATCTTATAAATGGAACTGATATTTGGAGTTTTCTCATTCACAGTGTAATCTATCCCAAGGACGTCCCTAGGACAGTGCTTGCACTGCAGAGGGTGAAAGTTCGACCCCTCCTTGGGGAACTAAAATTCTGCAAGCCAGGTAGAGCAGCCAAAAAAAAAAAAAGAACTCTACCCCAACTAAGAGATCATGCTTGCTACATAGGATAAGTAAAGAATTCAGATCTGAAAGAATGAAAAAATATCTTAAGTTTTCTGGGAGGACAGAGGGTGAATAGAAAAGCCAAAGGGGGAAGGGACTTGAAAAGGAGGTTCTTGCCTCTCTCTACCTGAGCCCGTCTCCCGCTGACTCACAGAATCCTACAAAGACTGCATCCACAGACCCTTCCTAAAGCACGTGGGCCGCAGGTCCCAGATCCACAGAGAGGCTCGGGGAGGACTCCTCAACTAAGGGGGGTCCAGATCCTCAGCCTGAGAAGACCAACTGTTTTCAGACCTCGTTCTTCTAGGGCATTTTTCCAGGAAAAGAGGAGAAATGAGAACCACATAAAGGGCACTCGGGGGACAGACTAAGGGGACTCTGAGGCAGCAGTTGGCAGTTTAGTGTATTCTGCTTTGCTGGAGTTTACTTAAAATATAAACTTGGGCATGGGCTGAGGCCTGCTATTATCTTTGGGCTGTACTGTGGGTTTCAGACAAATGTAGAAGGACGTACTTAGAATGTAGGTCAAATTTATTATTACCTGTCAACTCCTCCTCAAAGTCAATATGTAAATGAAGATAATTTTGTCACAAGTATATTCTTATTTACTTTCAAAACGCTCTTTCTGACATCCCTAGGGACCAACTTTGGACGCATCAAACAAGCAATTGAGCAGTGCTGAGTGTCCAGTGCATCACTGTGCTCGCTCTGGGAGGCTCCAACAGGGATATTCGCCTTTCACTCCACACCTGAATGGTTTCTGTCTGTACACTGATGTGACTTCCATCTCTTAACAAGCTCAGATCCAAGAACCCTTGCACCATGAGCATGATTTTCAATCCTTCACCACCAGCCAAACCCACCTCCGTTCCAGTGCAGGTGACAGTAAGAACCTGACGTGGGTTGGTGGTGGGTGTAGGGGGCACTCCCTATGAGAAAGGAGGAAGTGTGGGGAAGAGCCAGACCAAGTCAGCAAGAAAAGAGGGAGCAGCCTGGCTGAGGTACATACAGATGATGAACACTTGTGTAGAGAGTGGCTCTGAAAGCAACTAAATAAAGCATAGATAGTTTTAAGCTATGACAAACCCAGACAGTGTATGTTAAAGAGCAGAGGCATCACTTTGCCAACAAAGGTCTGTATAGTCAAAGCTATGGTTTTTCCAGTAGTCATGTATAGATGTGAGAGCTGGACCATAAAGAAGGCTGAGCACCAAAGAATTGGTGCTTTCAAACTGTGGTGCTGGAGAAGACTTTTGAGAGTCCCTTGGAAAGTAAGGAGATCAAACCAGTCAATCCTAAAGGAAAAGGGCCCTGAATATTCATTGGAAGGACTGATGCTGAAGTTGAAGCACCAATATTCTGGCCCCCCGATGAGAAGAGCCAACTCATTGGAAAAGACCCTGATGCTGGAAAAGATTGAAGACAAAAGGAGAAGAGGGTGGCAGAGGATAAGATGGTTAGATACCATCACCAACTCAATAAACATGAGTTTGAGCAAACTTCAGTGGCTAGTGAAAGACAGGGAAGCCTGGCATGCTGCAGCCCATGGGGTCACAAAGAGTCGGACATGACTGAGCATCTAAACAACAATAGTTCTGAGATAGAAACCAGGCCAGAACAAAACCTCCAGTCATGTACCGTCTAGAATCCTGACAGTATCTCACATTTACAAGGCCAAAGAGTTTTTCAAAGATTTGCAGATACTTGCTACAATTATTTAAGACATAACCACTATCACTCGTAAACATCCAGCCCTGGATAGACCCACCCAGGTTCACATGTTGGCTCTGACATTCACCAGCTATAACAAACGACATGGATTTGCCTAGCCTCAGTTTCTCGATTTAAAAAATGAAGATCACCAAGCATACTCTGCTGGGTGCTTTTGTAAAAATTGGAGAGAACTGATCAAAAGTACACATGCCAAAGGTCGGCATAAAACGATACAGATGAGAGTTATACAAACTTCAGGCAGGAATATATATGGCTGCTGTGGATATGCAATAAAAATTGAAAGTGATTAGGTTGATGGCATAGCTTTAAATTATAAAAAGTATAATCTGAAATGAATCAACATTATTACATAAATTACACCTCAATAACCTGGGTCCCTGACAGAGAAAAGCGAGATAAATTCAGACAAAATCTGTCACCACTCCTCCAGCTCTGTCTTGTGAACTATCTCCAATTTCACACTTTTGTCCGCTACCATCATTGCTGTCTGTATCAAAAAGCGCCTCTATTCTCCTGGATAAGAGGGGAATTCTGCCCATTTTCCTTTTTAATGGAGGTCTCACATCTGCAAGTCACACTTTTCATCCCACTGGACAACCAGCCAAATTCCAAAATTCAGTTTAAAACTGTGAGAAATAAGTCCATCTCTGAAAAATAAGTTGACTTGCTAAGAAGTCTGTCTTTGGCAACTCAGTCCCTAAGAGGTAACAGAATACCAAAATTTTCTAAAAACTAAACTGCCTTTTGTTGCCAGAAATGTGTGTCTAAGCACGCCGTTCACCTCCCTCAAATATAATTCTGAATAAAAGGAAGAGAGCTGTTTCTGAAATCCAATATTCAAGTGAGACAGAAAAGATTCTCATGATCGAGCAGTTGAGAGCATGTACGGGAAGGTATGGGAACGATGGAGGGAGGCTGCGAGCTGATCAACAGGGAGTGTGCATTAATTCTTCAGTAACAACTCAGAAAAGATGACTGTGGCTTAAAAACGTCCTGACTTGGCACTAGCATGGTGTGTCATCAAGACTGTCTGCAATTTTGAGCCAACAATTATGCAATGTCTAAATTGTATTTGTAGTTTGTTACTTCAAGTGCCGCAGAAATAACTCCTGGGCATTTTAGTTATGCACAAAAGGTATGGTATCTTCCCGAGTGAATATATGTTACACTGAAGTACATATTTTGTACTAAAACTTAGCTAAAACTAAAACAGAAGCAAGAAAACAAACTCACTTGTCAAACTCATCAAAGAGACCACAATTCTGCAGTTTCGAAAGAGCAAGTCGAAAGTATGTGGCTAGAAAACAAGCGGAGTATTAGGAATAAAAGCAATCATGACTTCTTAGGTACATGGGAAACCACTTTATCCTCTGCCCTCCCCCAAATCCACTTCAAACTGGCATGATTACCTATATTTATTCTGTGGTGAAAATTCATGATACGACTACAACTAGTCAGCCCTACTTAATAGGGGCACCTAAAATGTAAATGCTCTAAGGATACTTTCCAAAAACCCCAGGAAAATAATATGTTAATCTGAAAATGATCATAACCCAAAATTAACCATATCAGATGATTCAGAAAATGACATTGGTATAGAACTCAATATTCTGCCAGTTTAAATTTATCAAACTCTCTACAATATATTCTAAATACACACACAGCATCAGCTGAATAAGGAAAATCTAACTCAGGAAAGTATAGACTTGTCACCTAAAAGGCTTTCAGGGTTTCTCAAAAATCTAGCATGTAAAGCAAAGCAGTGGTCAGTAAGCAGAGGGAAAATCATTTCATCATTAGTAGATGGAGCAATTCTCTCTAAATTTAGCAAAAACAAAACATCCTCTGATTAAATTAAAAGACTGACCACGGATTTAGAACTTGCTGATGACAAAAAACTCCTAAAAGGCAAAATGGGAGAATAGGAGGAAGTTAACCCACAGAATTGTCTTGCTAATTCTCAACTGGAATAAAGTAAAGCATCAAACTCATGAATAATATGGTGGTAAAACAAAAGTGAAAAACAGTTTCTCAACAACAAAAAAATCTGCCTTTCTTCATTCTTTTATTCTACACTGACTCAAAACGAGTGGGGACTTACATACTAAAATATAATTCCTTTTACCCAATCTCAAAAATCACATCTTTAAGAATCACTATGAAACAAAAAGATTAAAAGACCTTAAAATTATAGAAAAACATATGGTTCACATCAAACACCAGTCATAGTGTTAGGGCAAGGTAAGAATAATATTACTGACCTGATGCTCTTATCCCATAGGGCAAATCAAACTTATCGCTACCGTAGAAGGAAACAGTATTTTTAAAATCAGCTGCACACAGAAAAGGGTGAAACTGATGATACCTGGAAGAAAAGGATAAAGAATGACTTTCCCAAATGTGTACAGTATTTGCAGGTTTTTAAAATCACAACTGTAAAAAACTGCAGTATGTCATTCCTATCGTTAAATTTGAGTATAAATGAGCATATAATTACTTTTAAGATTCTTTCAAAATCATCTTAAACACCACTTAAATGCTACATAGAATAGGATAGGCAATGGAACTACACACTCAGAATGGAAATGCTTTCCAGGTAGTAAAACCAAAACCATGTAACAGCTTGGGGGAGGGGACACAAAGTTTAAATACAAGTGAACCCCAAAGGTAGCCTACAGGAAGAAACAAAAGAACAAATGAGGGAAAATAAAAGTACAAATGCTGATTCACTCCCCAAAGAAAAGATACCATATATATATAAAGCTGTTGTCAGCAGTGAAAATTAAAATACACTAAAAGCTAGATGAACTCTCTCCTGATATCATTAAATTAAAATATACTCAAGAAGGACAGGTGTCTTCTTGCCTCCCTGCCCCGCTTCTACACTCAGGTACTCTCTCAGACAAGAATGTTTCATGAGACAGCTCTGTTTTTTTTTATGGTCCCTTCTTTCCACCCTTACCAGTTTTGTTCTTCCTAAATAAATAAACTGCAGGTGGAGATCAGAGTGCCCCTGGGGTTTCAGAGGCCAAGTGACAAAATGGAAATAAGAAGCACTAGAGTAGGAATGAGGGCTTCCCCAACGGCTCAGTGGTAAAGAGTTCGCCTTCAAGTGCAGGAGGTGTGGTTCAATCCCTGGGTCAGGAAGATCCCCTGCAGGAGGGCAGGGCAACCCACTCCAGTATTCTTGCCTGGAGAATCCCATGGACAGAAGAGCCTGGTGTGCTACAGTCCATAGGGGTCACAAGAGTCGGACACAACTGAAGCGACTGAACAAGCATGAATAAGGATGAATTAGCTTCAGCTTTATCCTGGTTTTACTACTCAGGAACTACTAACCTGGGCAAGTCACAGCAGTTCAAGATCTCCAGAGCTGAGCTGAGAACTTACACCATATTCAGACTAAGCAAAGAGGTGACAGACCACCCCTTCCTACTTGAGAAGAGTGTGTATGTCAGATTCAGTTGTGACAAGTGTTAGCAGCCTGGGGAAGGGGATTCCAGCCAATTTCAAAAGGTCATTATCTGTATCAGGGTTGATCTCTAAGCTTGGGATCTGCTCTGGGAAGAGAAGTGTCAGGGCTCCTGACTTAAAATTTCTAAATGAAATAATTGTTCAACACTGAGGGCAAAGAATGTGGCCTGCCATTTCAGTAAACAAAGGATATTGAAACCTTTAAGCCTTCAACTACTCCATCTGAACCCCAACTGCACTCTGTCGGGAATTCAGGAAGAAAAACAAAAACAGGATACAGGCCCCTGATAGCTATGGTGCATATCCAAAGAGTAATTTCAATAATCCAGTCTCTTGCATCTTCCCACACATAGAAAAGGGCTGAATTCATTATCTTGAGATGTCTGTTTAGTTTAATTAGCACTAATCTTTTCATGTTTGACTCCCTGATGTTGGTTTGCTGTTTTTGCAAAAACTCCTGTAAATCCTGGCTTCTCCTATACCTCTTTGGAACAGTCCCTCAGAGCTATCCGAGAGGCTGTAACCCTGGCTTAAGTCCTCAGTAACACCCCAAATAAAACATAATGCTCAACTTGTAGGTTGTGGGTTTTTTCTTTTTTTTCCAGTCGACAGCACCATGTCTCACACAAAGTTGGGGCTCAATAAGTTTCAGCCTTATCTATAATAACTATACTTGACATCGTATTGTATTACAGTAGGTTATATTACATTATAATGATCATATTACATATCTGCTGTTGGTACTCCTACAAAAGCCTGGAGAGTAAATTCTACTAGTCAATTTAGACTGTAAACAAAAAAGGTGACCTGCCATTTCAGTAAACAAAGGATGCTGAGGCCAGCAAGCCTTCAGCCACTACAGCTGCCCCAGAGGGAAATTCACAATGGAGGAAAACAGAATACTGGCCTTAGACAGTGCCCTAGACAATTATGGTACATAACAAAAAGAATAATTTCAATAAACTCAGACTCCTGCATCTTCCTATCTATAGAAAAGCATGAAAATCAATAACTTGAGATGTCTGCTTTTGTGATTCAGTTCAGTCGCTCAGTCGTGTCCGACTCTTTGCAACCCCATGAATCGCAGCACTCCAGGCCTCCCTGTCCATCACAAACTCTCGGAGTTTACTCAAACTCTTGCCCATTGAGTCGGTGATGCCATCCAGCCATCTCATCTTCTGTTGTCCCCTTCTCCTCCTGCCCCCAATCCCTCCCAGCATCAGGGTCTTTTCCAATGAGTCAACTCTTCGCATGAGGTGGTCAAAGTATTGGAGTTTCAGCTTCAGCATCAGTCCTTCCAATGAACACCCAGGACTGATCTCCTTCAGGATGGACTGGTTGGATCTCCTTGCATTCCAAGGGACTCTCAAGAGCCTTCTCCAACACCACAGTTCAAAAGCATCAATTTTTCGGCACTCAGCTTTCTTCACAGTCCAACTCTCACATCCATACATGACCACTGGAAAAACCATAGCCTTGACCAGATGGACCTTTGTTGGCAAAGTAATGTCTCTGCTTTTTAATATGCTATCTAGGTTGGTCATAAGTTTCCTTCCAAGGAGTAAGCGTCTTTTAATTTCTTGGCTGCAGTCACAATCCGCAGTGATTCTGGAGCCCAAAAAAATGAAGTCTGACACTGTTTCCACTGTCTCCCCATCTATTTCCCATGAAGTGACGGAGTCAGATGCCATGATCTTAGTTTTCTGAATGTTAAGCTTTAAGCCAACTTTTTCACTCTCCTCTTTCATTTTCGTCAAGAGGCTTTTTAGTTCATCTTCACTTTCTGCCATAAGGGTGGTGTCATCTGCATATCTGAGGTTATTGATATTTCTCCCAGCAATCTTGATTCCAGCTTGTGCTTCTTCCAGCCCAGTGTTTCTCATGATGTACTCTGCATATAAGTTAAATAAGCAGGGTGACAATATACAGCCTTGACGTATTCCTTTTCCTATTTGGAACCAGTCTGTTGTTCCATGTAAAGAAGAAATAGATGTTTTTCTGGAACTCTCTTGCTTTTTCGTTTATCCAGCGGATATTGACAAATTGATCTCTGGTTCCTCTGCCTTTTCTAAAACCAGCTTGAACATCTGGAAGTTCTCAGTTCACGTATTGCTGAAGCCTGGCTTGGAGAATTTTGAGCATTACCTTACTAGCGTGTGAGATGAGTGCAATTGTGCGGTAGTCTGAGCATTCTTTGGGATTGCCTTTCTTAGGGATTGGAATGAAAACTGACCTTTTCCAGTCCTGTGGCCCCTGCTGAGTTTTCCAAATTTGCTGGCATATCGAGTGCAGCTCTTTCACAGCATCATCTTTCAGGATTTGAAATAGCTCAACTGAAATTCCATCACATCCACTAGCTTTCTTCGTAGTGATGCTTTCTAAGGCCCACTTGACTTCACATTACAGGATGTCTGGCTCTAGGTGAGTGACCACACCATCATGATTATCTGGGTCGTGAAGATCTTTTTTGTACAGTTCTTCTGTGTATTCTTGCCACCTCTTCTTAATATCTTCTGCTTCTGTTAGGTCTATACCATTTCTGTCCTTTATTGAGCCCATCTTTGCATGAAATGTTCCCTTGGTATCTCTAATTTTCTTGAAGAGATCTCTAGTCTTTCCCATTCTGTTGTTTTCTGTTTGACAGCACGTCTGTCTTTTTCAGTAAAAACGACTCTATATCCTGGCTCCTCCCTTACCTCTTTGGAAGCATTCCTCAGAGCTGTCTGAGAGGCTGCCATCCCAGGCTTCAATCCTTAGTGTTTGGGCTCTGCTCTATCGCTCGGTCGTGTCTGACTCTTTGTGATCCCACAGACTGCAGCCCACCAGGTTCCTCTGTCCATGGATTTTTTTAAGCAAGAATACTGGAGTGGATTGCCATTTCCTCCTCCAAGGGATCTTTCCGACCCAGGGATTGAACCCACATCTCCTGTGTCTGCTACACTGCAGGTGGATTCTTCACCTGCTGACCCATAGTAAGGTAATAAGGTTCCCAAGTAAAACATTCTCAACTTTTAGGTTGTGCTTTTTTTTTTTTTTTTTTTTAATTCAGTTGACAAGACAAAGAAACTGAAGCTATAAAAAAAAGTGAAGTAACTATTATCTGGAGTCACTAACCCATTTGTTTCAGCTTTCAAAGCTGAAACCACGCCTAATCTCAACACTAGGAAAAGGTGTCCAGTCCTAGCACATTCACCGATGGTAATACTGCCAGGTTTCCCAGCAGAGCTTCTCCCAAAGGCTACTGACAAAGGAGAGCCCTGCCTCCAAGGAATACTATTCACAGGACAAGTGTGCAGACTTACACATCTGCTGAGCAGTCTTTCATAAATACTTTAATCCCTTTGGGTTTTCTCAGAGAGGAAATACCTTTCTTCTCTAAAGCTAAAGAGTACCTTGATTCTAGAGAAGCATTCCAAACCTGCTGTCTGCAACTGTTCGTGGTTCTTGAAGTCAATTTTGCAAGTCAAGATCAGCTCATTTTTAAAAAGTGAATAGAACAGATTATAGGGTATCTGGAGTAGAAGAGGTAAAAACTGTTTATTTTTTTATTATAAATAAACTTAGTACAAACACTAAGTTCCAAGGCAAGATATACTTCTTACTATGGGTCATGGTAAACAAAACAATTTTAACCACTCTTCTAGTTTTGCAATTGTCCTAAGTGGACACACACCCATGGATTGACTACAAGCAGCCATGGTATACCCATAGTTAGACATAAAAATACTTTGTGTTTCTAAAGCATTCCAGAGTTGGCTGATTTTAAATGGATCTGTAGCCTCAAAAGATTAAGAATCAGTCATGGAAAGGTACTGAGAAATGGCATATTTCCTGCCATACCAGTAAATAATGTCTCAGTCATCAGTGATTGTAGCCACCACTGATGGTGAACTGGTGAGCCCTGAGGGAACTCAGGATGTGAAAACCCAGGACATGAGCCCCAGATAGCTAAGGTGCATATCAAAGGAATTTCAGTGGGCCCAGACTCTTGCATCTTCCCATACACAGAAAAGCACTAAATTCCTTAACTTGAGATATCTGGGTTTCCTTTAATTCACAATAATCTGCTAACATTCAGACTACCTGCCCTTTACTGCAAAACTTCTATATAACCTAGCTTCCCTACTTTCCCTCCTTGGAGCAGTTCTCTCGGGGTTACTTGAGATGCTGCCTCCTGAACTTGAAGTCCTAAAATGCCCACCACATAAAGCATAACTCTCAACTTTTAGGCTGTGAACATTTTTTAAGTTGGCAGGACAGTACAATAATATAAGGGAAAAAGACGATGTGAATTTTAGATCCTTAACAGATTAAAATGCTGAAAAGCTTCTATGTGTTTACACAATTCAACATGCCCAGACCTGACTACCATTTATTTCTGGAAGCATTTTGACCAGCACTCTGTCAAAGCTGTGGTGACAAATGAAAAGAATATTTGTGGATGGAACAGTAAATTCTTTTCAAGTCCTGACAACCATAATCAACAATCAGTTACACCCTATGAAGTTCATTAAAAGTTTGTGAAAGGAAAATTTCTGCTGTAAAAATAACATGGGAACGAGGGTGGGAAAATAAAACCCTGAAAGGACAGTGCACTCTTAGGATCAAACATAACCAGACCTCTCTAATCTCACCTGTGTGAAAAGAAAACTGGTCTGACTGAGTTCTTCATTGCCTTTGCTTAAAATATATGCAGAGTTCTGACTAAAAGCACAAAAAGACAAGGACAGTCAGGCTCTTCCTTAAATGCAGGGTATCTATTTTACATTGCTAAGATTTGCACAGAAAAAGCAAACAAGTGTGGAGAACAATGACAAACACATTTTTGAACATTTTGTGGGCCGCGGTTTCTTTTGTGTGTTTACCTCAGGAGAGAGGCAAAAGCTGGCTTTGCTGAACAAGGCTGGATCCTGCTCCTTTGCTTCATGTCCATAGGTGTCACCCTAGGAGACAAAACAAGTGTCCGTCAGAAAGCAGAACTGGGCAGCCAGCCCGAAGGGAAGCAAGCGCCCTGGGAACCTGAGCGGGACCCCCAGGGAGAGGCTTCTCAGACAGGGGACATGGATCCTCACTGTATGCCCTGAGGTAGGACAGAAACTTCCCTAGTCCGGGACATGTCTGAGGACTCATGGATATAAAGCAAGAGAGAGTGGAAAAAAGGCTGAGGTGACAAGTGACCCAGAAGGGCCAGAGAGCAGCGACTCAAAGGACCCTTTGAGAAGAACTGGGAAAAAAATAAAGAAAGAAGAAGTAGGACTCCCACACTACGGAAGCCATGACCTGGCTCATAGTTTAGAAGTTCCTGAATGCCTGAGAAATGCACACAGCTATCAAGGTTCTCCACGCCACCTGCATGGATACCTATGGGCAGTAAATGCCAGAGAGACGCTGTCCTGAGCAGCTTCCAGAAACCCTACCTGGGACCTGGGGACCCCACCGTCCCACTACTTGGCATCATAGCGAACTCTCCTCTGTTCTTGGCACCGGTTAGGTGCCTGTGTGTCTCCTGAAAGGAGCACTGTCTCCACCATTTGAAAGGGTTTTGTGAAACCAGACAGAGCATGACAATGAAGACAGATGAAGGGGACGGGGCGGCAGGGTCCAGACTCAGCCGGGAAAGAGGATAACAGCCTCACATGAGAAACTAGGAATGATCATCAGCTGTATGGAGAATTAACCTAAAAAAGAAAGCCAACCGGTTTTCTTCTATAATCACCAGATTCAAACAGAAATAGCCTAACCCCTTCAGGGATTGACTCGATTTTAAACTCTTTTAGTACAAAATTCCCAGTTAACACTCTAGGTTTCTGTACTATGAGGCTAATTGAAGAGACTCATCTTTGGTAAATACCCCAAATGGCAAAAGCCTCTTGATTTACTTGTAAGGAAGATACATAAATATGGTGGGATATGACACCAAGCCATGAAAATCAAATTATAGTCAGAAGACAAAATAAAGTATAAAATATTACTTGGCTTCCAAGTCTATTAAAATAGAAAACAAACTATTTGAGGGTATTGTGAAGCCAAACTTTGAGTGTTTTTTTTTTTAAAGACAATTATTCATCTTAAATAGTAAAGGAAGCAAGTTCACAGCATCTGAGGTAATTTCATGATATTTTCTGTGGAGTAAAGTGTTCGTTTAGGAGTGACATGAGCATGCCTCGAATTCTAATGACAAAAAAATGTGCTGAATTTGGACCCTTTTCATTGTCTTCTTTATCATTTCCCCTGTGAGCCAGAATATGATTTCTTGGGAATTAGCAATCGAGCCAACTTTGTACTTTCTCTTCTGTTCTTATCTCCCATTACTAAGTATGGAACAGAGGCAGGAAGGTGCAAAGATACAGGGAGAGATGCTGGGAGTAGGAGCCTCGCAGGGTGCACGATCAGACTTCTAAGATCGCTGACTCATTGGTGGTGGTGGTTTAGTCACCAAGTCGTGTCCAACTCTTGCGACCCCATGGACTGTAGCCCGCCAGACTCCTCTGTCCATGGGGATTCTCCAGGCAAGAATACTGGAGTGGGTTGCCATTTCCTTCTCCAGGGGATCTTCCCCACCCAGGGATCGAGGCCGGGTTGGCCAAAAACCTCAAAACTTACAGCCAAATGCACACACCTGACACTGGATTTCTCCAGCAATCATAAAGAGCATTACAAGATTTGCTAACTTCCTTCCATAAAGAGCACTACAATGATTTTTCAATCAACCAGTAATGAAATCAAATGCAGAAGCAGCATTTTTTTTTTAATTTAGTAAAACAAAACCTAGAAACATGATCTAGCATCTACTATTCAAACACTGGCAAAAAATACTGGACTTTTGTCTAAGTGAAGATGTTTTTTGTGGTTTATTTGACATCATATAATAACTACCCATTCAGAATTTAAAGGTCATTAAAACTCGATTCCTTGCCAAAGGACTGGCAATAGGAAGAAAAGGTACCTCGAGACTATCAGACAGCTGTCCTCCAGGACTTCATTATACATTTACAAGCTAAGTTAACTGGGTTTTCCAACCGACTTCCACATCACAATTCTTCTGCTCTAGTCATCTGCAGAAGAGGTGTTTTTTTTTTTAAACATTTGTACTAAACAGTAGGCAATTTCTGAGCAGAACTCTGGGAAACTCAAGCAGAGTAATTCCAAAAGTATCAGACTTCTGAATTCTGAGTTTTAAAGATATATTTTGAGGAGAAAAAGACATAATCTATTTTGATGCTTTCATTTTAGTATCTTTGAATCACACATCCTCAGTGTCAAAAAAAAAAAAAACTGTTTTTGTCTTTTCCCCCAAAGTCAACGGGAACTTGAAGAAAATGTGAAAGCCTATTGCTGAATTCCAGGAGTGCAAAAGGAATAAACTCTGCTGGTTGAAAAAAAAAAAAAACTGTTTTGCGTAACTGAGGACACTTTTGGGTCAAACCATGTTAATTTACATGGTTTGTTGCAAACATTTTAAAATAAAGCAACATGTATATTAACTTTTCTATTTATCTTTATTATAGAAAATATTTTAGAATGTTCTCCATAGACTAGCATAGTTATCAATGGTCTCAAACTCTTGGTGGGAATGGTAGTTAACCAAAGTATAGCTCAAGAATTTGGAAAGTTAGGAAGAGAGAGCCTCTCTCCCCACCCCTATCTAAATGTGAAATTTGGTAAATCAGAATACTTTATAAAAAACAAATTCATATTAATCACCATTATAAAAGGTGTTTGTTTTTAACTACATTGAAGACAATCAGGAAAGTTTTTTTCCCTTAACGCTTCTCCCTAGGGTAGCATCATAACAAAAACTTAATGCTAAGAAACATTTTATATGCTATAAAATGTTTAATACACAGTTTAAACTAGATTATCTGTTTTCTTCTCCCACAATAACTAATCTGTTTTTAGTATCAGCAACATTTGGCAAGTTTATTTTTTAGATATAAACTGTGGTTCATCTGTTCACTGTTTCAAGTAAAAAAAAAAAAATCATTTCCAGGAGAAAAAGCAGAAAAAGCATCAATTAACAAGAAGGACAAGTGACTTCATTTGTTTTTAGAAAAAGAAATGCTTACTTAACTATCCTGTATTTGGACTTATTCAGGTGTTAAGAAATTGAGGGAGGTATAAAAGGTTAAATGACAACAGTGCTCTTTTTTTAACCTAACAGCCCAGCCTTAACTGTGAACTTGAATCCAAAAAGGACAGTTGTCATAGAGTAAACTCAAGGAAATGTCTGGTTGGCATTGATAAGCACCAGCAATAGTCAAATGGAGAGACATACTTGCATGGTCAATTTAGTCTCTAATTCCAGTAAGTTCTTTTGCTTTTAGAAGCACCTCTTTTTTCAAACACACCACAAGGAAAGTATAGACAGTTGTCCTACATCACATGCTCTGTGACTTATAGAAATCAGTACACTTTCAGATTAGACAGATCATTTTTCTAATCTTTGGATCTGTTTTGCTTTAGTTTGAAAAGTTGTATTGTAATTAATCAACTCTAGCAAAATTTTGTATATGGTAGTATAGCGTTAATTTATCCTGTGACAATGCTGCTCTGAATTTTCTTCTGTTTTTCAAAAAAACAAAACCTGTTGCTTAGAAGCCATGAACCATTTTACTCTACTTCAACTTGTCAAAATTTCCTTGTTTTTAAAAATGATCATGTGGGTTCACTCAGGAAATTCATGTCCAGAAGCTTGTATTTAAGTTGACTAGTTGTGATAGATCAGGAACTGCTCTTACTCCTTTTTCAAAGAAATATAAATGATTTTTAAGCTTTCTCAATTGTCACATGCTCTGCAACTAGTGCAAGGAAATCAAGTCCTGTGTTGTATTTGTTCCAGTCATTTCTATTCAGGTCACATATTGTAGCTAATTTTTATTTGTAATTTGTTTATTCAAACTAAGTAAATACTTTTCAAAATAGAAAAGGGAAAAGGATAAAAAGCTTAATATAGGAGTTTTCTCTGTAATAAAGCTACCTGTGCCTCTCCAAATTTTATATGTGATATTTCAAGTCAAAGTCATTTCAAATTCTGCCTATATCATTATTCAGCAAATATTTTTAAACAAAGGAAACCATATGTAGTGTGCACATTTATCAACAATCTTTATCCCAGTATTTTAGACTCAAGACTTGAATGCCACTGAGTCTAAGAAGTACTCCATCAATTCAAAAAGATGAATTATATAAATCAGAATCCCGAAGACGGTCAAGACCACTGCTTCACTGAAAAGTAAAAAAAAAAAAAAAACACAAAGCTTACCAACATTTAAATGGTTATGTGTAATGTATAAGATATTAGAATGGTAAAACTCTAATCTATAATGGAAAAGCTAGAAAAGGCTCAAAATGTTACAGGGTTTGTTTGTGTGTTCTGTAATAGGTCGTTCTAATACCATTTGTGTGTCCATGTGAAAGACCAGTTGGGGGGTCATTTTTAAGCAGCAAAAATAAGACTTACCCGTAGTCATTTGTTCTCCACAATATACAATGCAGCACATAATAGAGGAAGACGGCACTCAGCAAGATGGCCACAAGGTACCCTCTCATGGCTGGCCCACCTGTAACAGAGGGAATGATGCCAAGGGGAAGGCAAGGTCATTACACAGATGCTCCACACAGTGACCCACCTGCAAGCATCAGTGAACAAAGAAACACACAGAGGGAAGAACGGAAGAAACTGATGCCAGCCTATCATTTTGGAAACACCCACTAAATTTGCAGAAGGAGAATATTTTTTTCTGTCTCTCACCCTCTTTAATCAACGCAACACGATTCGTGTCTAGAACAACACTTTCCCTTATTAAAGAAGTAAAAAATTCATTCAGAACAAAATTTTACACATTTAATACTCATTTTTAAAAAAAATACCTATTTTCTCTCTCTCCAGAGAAGTGAATATATACCTTAAGATGTAATAAAAACCTTTTGTTTCATCAGTGCTCAAAATGACTTTTAAATGCTATATAAACTAAAAGTCATTTCCTCACTTTAAAAGACTGGGAAAAAAACTACTAAAAAATATTTACCATATCCTCAATTTTTACACACTTTTATATGCACCACGTCACAGCATAGGTAAATTTAGCTCCTTTACAAAATAGATTTTTTTTAAAGCCTAAAACATTTTCTTTAGTTTCCACTTCTGCTTCATAGGCAGATCTGAACATGGTCTCACTTCTACATGTAAGTAAATGTGAAAGACAAATTTTAAAATGTCTTTATTTCAGTGCCTCTTTCCATCTCCTACCAGGTTCCTGGTTCACCTAGACTTGAATGTCCCACGCCACTCACTCTTGTCCAAAGTGTGAAAGTGTTTAGTCACTCAGTCATGTACGACTCTGCAATCCCATGGACTATAGCCTGCCAGGCTCCTCTGTCCATGGGATTCTCCAGGCAAGAATATTGGAGTGGATATGGAAATGGCTATTTCCTTCTAGAGGGAATCTGCCCAGCCCAGGGATCGAACCCACGTCTCCTACATTGGCAGGTGGATTCTTTACCATCTGAGCCAACAAGGAAGCTAACCTCAATTAGGGTGGTGCAGTGTAGAACATGTGAGTCTAGTTAGATTCTTTTTTTTTTTTGTAATTTTATTGAAATATATTTGATTGGTTAGATTCTTAAAGAGCTCACTGCCTTTATGGGTATAATGGACTAAACATAAAAGAAGCTGTTCTTGATAATGTGAGGTCATCATAACAAATGTCATTCATTGTTCTGGGCACAAGAGTTGAGACTCTCAGGAGCTCCTAGGGGTGTGGGGCTGTTTTTGGAAGTGATCCTCCACTGTAGGGATGATCCCATGGAGATTGCTAGGCAGCCCCCCCTTGCTGTCAGCTGTTGCTTCTCACTGCAATTAATGCAGCCACCACCCCCACACGCCACTATTATAAATTAATTAGAAGTGAAGGCTGTGTCAGGAGGAAGCAAATGAACACCTTAAATGAGCAAACTTTAGTTTACCCATACTTCCAATTTAGCAACAAAATCCCCAATCAACACCGGTTGGAAATCAGAAGACAGAAATCATGGCCCAACTCCACGTAATTCCTGGCCTGGGGGTGGGGCGGGGCTTAGGTAAATTAGTCTCCCTTTTCCAACCAGACTGTTCTCACATGTTGAGGAGTAAGAACACACAACTACCTCTTTGGACTATTAAGCCCGACTGGCCAAAATGACGGGTGTCTGGCATAGCCCAGGACACAAAAGTACGGGCTGAGTAAGTTTGTATATTTTATGGTTGTTTGTTTTCTAAAACTAAAGCCAGGTGTGCGTTTTGTTTCTTACATAGTAAAGTGCATGGGTTTGAGAAAGCCAAAGGGAGACTTGGCCCACCCACTGCGCAGCCTGAGCCGTATTCCCACTGGACTGAAGGCAAGACTCAACTGGGCACGGCCATGGCACAGAGGCCACATCCTCTGCGGGCAGAGAGACCAGAGCAAGAAGGGCACAGACCGTCTCGGGCCCAGGCCTCCCTGCCCACTGTATTCTGTCCTCCTCGCCCCCGTGTAATATATGCCTTGACATATTATGCATTATTTCAGAAATCATCTTAAGTTTTTGGTAAAAAGCAAGAAATAAATTGCATGATCATCCAGTGGGTAAGAAAAAAAAAGTATGGGTCTGGGTTTATTGAGAAATAATTGGCAAAAAAAAAAAATCCAAGGAATGGAGAGAACTCAGGTTTGGGATGATCAGAGTGAAAGCCCAAGAAAATAAGGCACTGAAGATGGTGGGTGCATCACTGACCTAGTTAATTGAGGAAGCAAGGACAGCAAGACAGCGAGCCCACAGCCTGACCTTTAGGACATGTGCAGCAGATGCTGGCTCCACGTCTTCCCCTTCCTGCGCGAGACAATAATGTATGCTCAGTCGTGTCCAACTCTTGGCGGCCCCGTGGACTGTAGCCTGCCAGGCTCCTCTGCCCATGGAATTTTCCAGGCAAGAATACTGGAGTGGGTTGCCATTTCCTCCTCCAGGGGGGTCTTCCAGACCCTGGGATCGAACCCGTGTCTTTTGCGTCTCCCGAATTGGCAGGCGGATTCTTAACCACTCGCACTACCTGGGAAGCCCATGTGAGAGAAGCGATAATGTTAAACACTTTAGCCAGAGGCCATGAGCCATGCTTCATGCTGACAGAACACAGGGAGCTGGCGCGGACTGGCCTTGGCTCATGCCTTGGACTGAACTGGCTCTGGCAAATGTTTTTGTTTTTTTTTCATGCATCACACAAACATGAATGTAGGATAAATACAAAAGACTCCAAAGAACACTGAGGAATTCTTTATATACCCTGTGACTCATCTAAAAATACACTGCAACTAAGCCTTTTTGTTGAACATCTGATGGTTTCAGTTATCAGGGATATTTAGCAACTAAGTTCTAAAATGCACAAATTAGACTTGGACCAAGAAAGTTTTAGAAATTACTGATACCAGGCTTAAGACTGTCCTGGAAGGCATTTTACCACGGGCCAAAATAATCATCAAACAATTTGCTTAAATACTCAAATATTTAAGACTCCATCCAAACTATCATCAGTTATGCAAACACCCAACAAGGATGCCACTTACCAGTAACGAGAGTTTTTTACAAAACGTATTTAGAGCTTCCCTGGGGGCTGAGTGGTAAAGAACCCTCCTGCCAACGCAGGAGACATGGGGTTCGACCCCTGATCTGGGAAGGTCCCACATACTGCAGAGCAACTAAGCCCACGCGCCACAACTATTGCGCCTGTGTGGTTGCTCCCAGGAGCCGCAACTCCTGAAGTCCAAGCCAGCCCGCCCTCCACAACCAAAGAAGCCGCTGCAATCAGAAAGCTGAACACTGCGACAAGAGGGGAGCCTGCACAGCAGTAAAGACCCGGCACAGTCAAATATAATGAAAATCAATCCCCCAAAATCTGCATCTAAGGTAAGGCAGCACATTACAGTCTAAAGGAAGAACTCAGTATTTTCAATTCAGTTTGCTCACCTGTCCCTCAAAACACATTCCTCGGAAAATTTACCGATTACTTTACATTACAAGGAAGTACAAGTGAGATTGTTGTTTTTGCCTCACCAGTTCGTAGTTTCGCTGAAAATGAAGAAGGGTGAGAAACATTTTTTTCCTTCAAAACGTAAAATGAATCTACTCGTGAAGGGTCATTGTGTACACCACCTGAGAAAAATTTGGGAAGCTTTGTCACTCTCTAAGGTGTCATGGGCAACTCACAGCACCCACACTCAAGCTGCGAAGCAAACTGGGGCCAGCCAGGATATCCGTGTGATAAGCATGTCGAGTTCTTCTACTTGCTCACAGGAAAAAAATTGCAGAAATAAATGAAGTCTCTAATTGCAAGTCTATAAAGGAAACAACCATTTTGCTTTGAGCCAAAGATTCAAAGCAACATCAGTTAGGATTTAACACAGAGTGCTTGGTTTACAGGGGAACAAAGCCCTTCAATATAGCTCCAAGAACCAAAACAAGTTTCAACATCCTGACATTAAACAATACATACCAGCTTCTTGGCTGCAGATGCCACTATTAATAAGATCAGGGTCCCTAAAACACCCTTATAATTGAATAAATCAATTATTCACCTAGACTGTGAGTAGAGTTTCAAGGGAGAGCAGGAAACGCTGGCAGAGATCAAATGCTTATTTCTTCTCAAATTATGATACATAACTGAACAGATGAATAATCTACATTTGCCAGAGGCCTCCCTGGTGGCTCAGTGGTAAAGTATCCATCTGCCAATACAGGAGACTGGGTTTCGATCCCTGGGTTGGGAAGATCCCTTGGAATAGGAAACAGCAACCCACTGCAGTATTCTTGCCTGGGAAATCCCATGAACAGAGGAGCCTGGTGGGCTAAAGTCCATGGGGTCGCAAAGAGTCGGACAGGACTGAGCAGGCACTCCATATACCAAAGTGGACTCAACCCTGGCAATAGGTTTTCTGTCTCTTTAAAGTATATTTTTTAAGTTCATAAAAAGCTTGTAAGTCTATCACTTCACTTAAGGCTCAAAACGAGCTTGATAAAAGGATGTGTGGGTATCATTTCCTTGATGAAGGAAGGAACTGAAAGTTTCTCGGGGTCAGTGATCATCCCAGCTCACAGGGTGTAAGAAACAGAAGCAGGCAAAGTGTGGTCATTGCTTCCCACAGTTCTATTCCTATCTATCAAGACAAAATGCATGAGGGGAACCCAAAAGAGAAAATTCTGACAGACAGCTTCCTGAGAGTGCTCCATTGGCGGGCAGAGTTCCAGAAGTGCAAATTCAGACATAGTGGACGGGAGAGGGCTGCAGGCAGGCTCCCCAACGTGATGTGGCAGGTTCAAGGGTCTGCACCAGCTGACAACTTGTTAACATGCACATTCCTCACCCCCTACTACACTGGAATTTCTGGGGCTTGGGGACATGTATTAAAACAAACACCCTCCAGTCTGATTCTTATGCTGACCCAAATTAAAATTTGAGAATTATTGCTCTAGGATTCTCAAGGGAACCATGGAGGAAACCAATAACAAATGTACTGAAATACAGAGAGCATAACAGACGTTAC